TGGTGAAGCCAGGCAGAGTGGCAGTGGGGCACAGGCAGATGCTCCCATTTCTTCTGCCTCAGGGCATGGTGACTGCTGCGTTGCCAGGTGGTGGCACTGTGACATAGGCATGACAGGGTTCCCCACAGGCCCATCCCACACCCCACTGCCCAGCATCCCTTGGAGGAAAGCCCTGAGAGTGCTGGCCACAAAGCAGCCCCTGTGCCAGTCTGGTGAAGAGGAGACTGTGGGGTGACCTCCTTGCTCTCTCCAGCTCCCTGAGGAGGAGGAGGAGGAGGTTTAGACTGGACATCATGAGCATGTTTTTATGGAGAGAGTGGTCAAACCCTGGATCAGGCTTCCTAGAGAGGTGGTCAATGCTCCAAGCCTGACAGCATTTAAGAGACACTTGGGCAATGCCCTTAACTTGGTCAGGCAGTTAGACTGGATGATGGTATTGACAGGACTAGGGGGAATGGGGCAAAGCTGGCAGTGGGCAGATTCAGGCTGGATGTGAGGAAGAAGTTCTTCACCATGAGAGTGGTGAGACCCTGGAATGGGTTGCCCAGTGAGATGGGTGAGGCCCCATCCCTGGGGGTCTTTAAGGCCAGGCTGGAGGAGGCTCTGGGCAGGCTGATCTAGTGGGAGGTGTCCCTGCTCATGGCAGAGGGGTTGGAACTGGGGGATCCTTGTGGTCCCTTCCAACCCTGACAGATTCTGATCTGTTTTAGCAGAAGACTTTAGAGCCCTAATGGCTCAATGGTTGGACTTGGTGATCTTGGAGGTCCCTTCCAACCTAAAGGATTCTATGATTCTATGGCTGTAGGTCCCTTCCAATTGAAATAGCCCATTCTATTCTACCTGATTTTTTTTTTTTTAACAAGAAAAAAACAATGTTTTTTTAGTTTGTATTGGTATTTCTTTAACTTGTGATGTCATGCTGTATTAATCCAAACCACCCTTTTTTTGATACTTCAGAGTTACTGGTGCTATAAGTTGCTAGTGCTGTTAAATTTTGGGTAAGAGAGGAGAACATCTAGACTTTTTAAATTATGAAACACAGTTGTAGGTGCTGGTAGCCAGAACTCTGCTTCACTAGAGGACTCACAGGCACCTTTTTCAATGCTTTTTTTTTTGTGTGTGTGGTCGAGGATGGATCTCTCATAGTCTTGAAATTTAGTCTTTCTTCTTGATTCTGACAGTGGCTCCTTTCTTTTCTCTTTGAAGACCGGTACACAACCCTTTAATCCTGCAATGCTCTTTAATGTTGGCTTCAAAGAGGCCATCACGGATGCTGCCTGGGACTGTATAATATTTCATGATGTGGATCACTTACCTGAAAATGACAGGAACTATTATGGCTGTGGGGAAATGCCACGCCATTTTGCAGCAAAGCTGGACAAATACATGTACATGTGAGTAATTAGCTGTGTTCACATTGTTTCTTAAATCCCTAGAAACATTCTTCAAGCCTGTCTGAATTTCTGACAGTATGTACTATAGGTGAAAGCAATGAAACAGCCTCCTACTATGCTATTTACATAATTTAATATCTAGTTATTCAAAGATTTAAATGTAATGTCTAATTTGAGAGATTGCTAATTTGAAGATATTTAATTTTCAATGTTGAACTTGTTGCAGTGAGGTTGATCTTAAAAAAAGAAGCTCTGTGTGTCAGGGAGGGAAAACTTACCTTCCTTATTAGAAATCTTTTCTGAACGTTTTCCAGAAGGCTGCATAAGCCTTTGCAGTGGCTGTTAAAGATAAGCAGATAATCTCCAACAAAATACCACTGGAAAAATGACTTATTTAATTGTCTCAAAACTGACATCTTGAAAACAGGACTTTCTTTGCACTTCAGGTTGTGAGCCATTTAGCACTCAACCCCTTAAAGACTTTAAATATATTTAAAAGTATATAAGAAACCACATAGAAATATGTGAGAGATTTCATCTATCTTTACATGTGTTTATAAAATAATTCATTTATATATACATCTATAAAATTGTCTAAACACATATATTTACAAAATATATTTACAAGTG